TCTACAGAATTTACAAAACAAAGAAAATATTAAAAATCAAAAGAAAAAACATTTGCATTTCAAAAAGGTAATCTTTTATGAATATTACCTCAGGAGAAAATAAAATATGTTTGACTTAATGCTGTCTGTAGTAAAATGACCACAGGGACAGGTCTAAATGGTTTATTAAGTAAGAAAGATTGAACATATGAAAAATTGCTCTCTCCTAGAATATTTCTAACCCACATGTGTAATTTATATCATGGCAAAATGCAACACAAAAGGTCTTTTGTTTTGGCAAAATAACCTACAAACATGCTTAATTAGGATGCAAACCAAAAGCACAGTTTATCCTGTTGACAGTCATGAGCTTTAGATAGTGATTTCTATCATTATTATTATTTTGCTTATGGCAACATATGAAAAACAGTAAATATGGATCTAGAAGACAAAGTTATTAAAGACACGCAACATTTAAATCTCATTTGTGTGTCAGCATCACAAATATTATGCTCCGACTATCCCCAACTTGGAAGGGGAATGAAAGAAATTGTGTTTTGGAATGCAAGCTTACTCCCATGGATATTTGAAAAAGATGTCAGCATTTAAGTTAATCGATATCTGTTGCTAGTGGGCTTTACTTTGAGAAGTGATGGCCTCTTTCCGGGGAAAAGGGATAATTCTTCATACTGACATTCCATTCCATTTACTGCAAGATGGAAACTAGTGCCTCCATTAAATGAGTTCCATGGCCAGTTAATGCCCAAAGCAGTCTTTCTCTATTGTAGTCAGTTATTCACCATGGGGTAGGAACAGCTGGATCCTAAATGAATCTGAGAGGTCACCATGTTCAAGCTGTTAAGCCCCAGGTTTTCCAGGGCTGTGTCTTGTAATTCTATGTTTCTATGGGGTAGAGACTAAGGACGTGAAGAGGGAGCTTCAGGTTACAGGTCTGGATGAGGTACAAGAGAAATTTGGTTTTATTATCTGGATGTTCTAACTATTTTACTTATTTAAATGTTAGTAACCATTTTAAGAGGTAGCTGTGTGTGACAAAATATAAGGTAAGATGTAGAGTTAAAACATTTCATGGTTCAGGGGGAAGAGCTCTGGCCCCTGGTCTTTCCCTTCCCTGCTGTATGACCTCAGGGAAATTACTCCACCAACTCTCAGCTCTGGGCCTCAACTTCCCTTTGGTCTCCTGATCTGAAAATGGCAGTTATTGTGATGAGGATCAGGCAAAATCAGGGAGCCCACAAAAATGGTTTTAATAGTATGAAGTGGCACAGAAGGTCAGGATATTTCTGTGATAACTTGAAAAATGTATCTATGAGAGATCACCAATCTGAAGAGTTAAAGTTGAAAACTTCAGGGGTGGATATCTAACCTCAGTTATCTGGACTTACAACCTCAAGTTTTTATTTAACTCTGTAGATATAGCCCTAGAGTTCAGTAAAATGAGAAAAAGTTAACTAGGTACTCTATTTTATGAGATTCTATTAAATTTTTCACTGATTTATTACATGCTTATTATAGAAGCTTCCCACAGCTCAGAATGGTATAAAGAAAAATTACTTTCCCTCCACTGCTGCTTGCTTTCTCCTGCCCCCGAACCCCCACGCACACTTGCGCGCGCACACACACACACACACACACACACACACGCATAACTCCCAATTTCCCCTCCCCAGAGATAATCTTTATGGACAGTTTCTTGTAAAATCAAATACTTCAAAAATAAAAAAACACTGTAAGACAATTTATAGATTTTAAAATATATTAAATTAAAGAAAAATCTAGAACTATCCCATGCCACTCAGGGTTGGTGAAATCTCAAATTCCCTTGGAACAACGAAATGACCAATTGCTGGGTGAGGGAATTGAAACAATAACCCTGTAAACAAACTGCCCAAAGTGTGTGGCTGGAGCCGGCCTATAGCAAAGATGGAACGAAGCCTTCAAGGAACAGCACCTCCTCCTCACGGTTAACAACTTGATGACGTTCTTCAACATGTTTTAATGATTATCATACCTTCCTCTTCACAAAGGATTGATTTATTATGGTTTAAATTTAAAGAATACTGGTTTCCCAGTTTTGAATCAGGCTTAGATTACAGAACACATAAAATCAATGACTTTGTTCTAGGCAAGAAAAAACATGTTCATTTAAGTGCAAAAGAAACAGTCCTGGGGAAAAATTATTCATGCAGTCCCCCATGCTAACTGTTCCCACCACCAGTTTGCCACTTCTGCTCTTTCCCTCATCCCTGTCATCAGTACCACCACAATGAACACTTTTATGGCACTATAAAATTCACAAACAACTTCACATACTATTTTTTTTAATACTCAAAACAATTTTGTCAGGAAGAAAAAACAATCTTAGCTTCTTAATTTTCAGATTTAAAGAAAAAACACCTGAAGCTCAGAGCAGTGAAGTGATTGGCCCAAGCCATTCATCCTGTAAAGGTATATTTGCCCAGGTATACTGATGATTTCTAAGTGTCTACATCTCCAACTGAGATCTTCTCTCAAGCCCCAGGACCCACAATCAATACTCAACAGCTGCACTTTGGAGTTCCAAATGTGGTTAAATTCAGTTTCTAGGCTAAGCCTATAATATTCTCCTATAAACTTCTTTCTCATTCAAAGGTTTTCTTTCTCAGTGACTGACACCATTATCCTTTCAGTTGTTCAAGCCAAAAACCTAGGCATCCCCCTTCACCACCACCCCTGTTCTCAATATACATACAGACTTCATCATCACATCCAATAGAGTTTGCCTTCCGAAGATTTCCCAAATCTGTCCATTTCTTACCGTCTCCACCATGAACACTGCAGCCCAATACCCCAGCATCTCACATTGAAATCATTTCCATGTCACACCCTTCCTTTCCCTCACCACCCCCACTCCACTCATTTTCCATGCTGCAGCCAGAGTGATCAGGTAATTCCTCTGCTTAAAATCTTTTGTTGGCTTCCCAGTGCTCTTCAGATAAAGAAAAGAATCCTTAGTGTGGACTGTGAGGGCCAGTATGATCTCATTCCTGTGAACTGGCAAGATGAATAAGCTCTTTCCACAGTTTCAGAATACCATGATGTTGTTTAAAAAATGAATGTTTAAGCTCCTGTTTTTTTAAATAATGTACAACATTTTAATAAGTTAAGTGCATTGATTAATTGTAGGATGAAGTTTGCATGTGTGGCTATTCTTAAGCATTAGCAATATATGATCATATATAAATCTTATTGATCTTTCTGAATTTGTTAAAAAATATAACCAGGTTCATTATAACATATGCATTAATATACATGCATAAATCTATGTAATAAAGCATACTGGGTGGGGCAAAAATAGATTTACAGTTGTGAGTATGCAAACACAGTTTATTCTCATATTATTTATTAATTATTATATTATTTTCCATATGAATAACTATAAACCTACTTTTGCCTCACCCTGTATGTTTATATAATATACATAAATAATTTATATAATTCATTTCATTGTGTATAATTTCTATCTGTTTCAAGCTTTTGGATAACTGGAGAAAGGGAGGCCAAGACACTTCATCCTTGTTGTATGGATTATGCATCTCAGAGTCTAAAAGACAGGGTCAGCTTCATGGGTGTGTGACTTGAGCAGTCACCAGGGCCTTCTCTAAGAAGAGCCCCGTGCTTGGTTTATTGCTCTACCACTGCTGTCTTGAAATTCTTAATTTTTGAACAAGAGATCTCACATTTTTGTTTTGCCCTGGGCCTCACATTGTTTAACCTATTCCAACTAAAATTCTTTAGAAGAATTTTAAGAGTTGAAGTCTTTCACATCATCCAGGACCAAGTGTTCATTGCACTTGATTTCTGTGTTTCATGAACTCAACAGGAGAAGAGCTCTGAGGACCACCAGAGTCAGAATTGTCAGTCAGTGGGAGGATCTATATATATTGTGGCCAATGATAGATTTCAGACCAACAAAACATAAGCTTCTACTCAATAAATGAGATTTCCAAATACAGTGAAACCTGGTTAACAACTTTGGCTAGTGAGTGAGGTAATGACCACAGATGGTTAACACAGAACACGCCTGGGGTTCAGCTGTTCTCATACTTGCGATAGGTCTTGGCCTAGAATATGGGGGTAGCTGGGCAAAGATAGGTATAAATAACTTCACTGAAGGGTCTGGCAATAGCCACATTAGAGATGCTTTTATGGCTTATAAAAAGTCCTTCAATACTTTTGTGCTAAACGAAATGAAAAACTGAAGCTCTGTGGGAAACTGCCTGCACGTGAAAAACGTTTCCCCAACTCCTGCTCCCAGGACCACAATTTTCATTGTAAGCAAGTGATAGGATGGTGGGGGAAGTCTGGATGAAAGCTCAGATGCTCATTTTAAAGCATATCGTGTGCTACTTTTACCTTCTAGAAGTTGAAAGGCTGCTTGCATTTGTAAGTTACCATTTGAAAAATAATAGTAATTATTATTATTTTGCTTCAAGAGCAAATGATCTAGAAGAGCTCATTTACTGCTTGTCCTAATTAACTTTGGCAAATCTAAAAATTAATATCTAGGTAAGATTTCAATTTTAGGGTGACAATTTTCCTCATGAGTTCCGAATTTTATAGGACATAAAAAATTTAAACTTTCTGAGAAAGTTATGCTTTTGAGATAACAATGAAGTCATAGCATAGTTTCTAAAAATTCCCAGTAGTGATAAATGGGAAGCATTCAAGTGTAATGGCACATTCAGGTATAATGTAATTGGTATCAGCCTTGGGTTCAAGTCTCTGCTTTGCTACTTACTGTGTGACCCTGGGGCAAATGACTTGATCTTTCTAAGCTTTACTTTTCCAAATTCAGAGCAGGATAAGAACACAATGAATAAGGCTGGAGTGAGGGTCAGGTTATACAACTGATGTCAGTGTTCGGCATGGGGACGGGGACTTGGTAAACACTCTACAAATGGAGCTATCAGCATTGATAAGATTTTTCCCTCCAGGATTTTAATCTATTAAGTAGTTACCTTATTGACAGGAATAATGTTTTTGACATTGAAGTAGAAGCCAAAATAAACCATGTTGAAAACTCCATGACGTCCCAAAGTTGCTGTAAATCCTTTGTTGAGGCCCTGGAGTCCCAAACCTTCCTTCTTAATGATGTGTCTTGCGTAGCTCATAGTGGATGGTTGCTGCAGGAGACAGGGGCAAAGCCAGAAAGATCATCTTTGGGAATGTGAAATAGAGTACATTACTATTTAGCTACCCTTCAAGCCAGAATTATTAGGGACTTCTTTTTCCAAAAATGAACAATCAGGTCTAAATCCATGCTTTTAAAATTAGGAAACCCCAAAAGTAAACAAAATTGCATGCATAACAACAGGCCTTAAAGGGAAGATTGTTGGCAAAGAGAGACATCTTTGGTGGAATTAGTGAAACTAATGTCATGTAATAATTACCACCACTTTCAACATGTTAATAGTTGCATCCAGTTCTGGATTATCCACACTAATGGAGAGGATTAGCCATATGGATACTGGTAATCCATAACTGTGTATAATCCAAAAGGAATTTATATTTGGTTCCTGGATTCAGTGTATTTACCTTTCTAATTCTGTTTTCTAAAGTGAACGTTACATTGCCTCAGTAGTTTAAACAGGTGCTAGGCTAGAAATTGTGCATGGATAAAAAGCAGTTGATTGTAGACTCCCTCCAGGGGGTGGGTAATCAGTGTGTGTATTACTTGCTGTGATAAATGATAAATCAGTGGTGTTGGGAGTACTGGGTTACCTTTAATTTACTCCTTTCCAGTCCTCTGATTGATTACCCAAGGTTGAAATACCTTGACTGCTGGAATCCAGTCTATTGCTATTTCTGGAACATGAGGTTTATAGTCCATTACAATACAATTACAGCAACTTATATGTTGTTGGTTTTTTTTTTAAAGGTTGTTTCTTTTTTGGAGGTACAGTACAAAGGATATCTCTTCTGGTTAAATTTTCAATAGTAAATAGAAAAAATATTCAGTATTTATTTTTTTGCACATAAGGCAAGCGGCTGGCGTGACATTTGTTTGCTATTTGACTGGAGCAGGTTGCTGGAGTGGTCCTGGCACTCTGATGTGCTTTCTGACTAAAGTGTTTTCTTATCATGTGCAATTAAAGCTGCATCAGCAGAACAGAATAGTACAAATCCAATCATGGCTTTTCATCTCACTTGTATTTATAGCTATGTCATTAACATGATACATTAAATGAGTTTGTTTATATAGTAAATCCCATAGTTTTTACTCATAAATGTTTTTAAAACTCTAGTTACAACTTTACACTCAACTTCATCTTTTCATTTTAGAGGATTAATTATAATAAATTATATTGAGCTTAAGGAAATCCTTTTGGTAACATGAAAAAAATCACATGAGAATGTATCTTAAAAAAACAAAAGACATTTCATATAGGAGAACCAAAAATTCTCAGAGGGTTAGAGTTCGTTCTGTTTTATAAAATGGGACTTTTTTGTTTGTGTTCTGGCACATTGACTATCAACCCAAATTGTTTATTTTGGTTTTCAAGATAGACTTGAGGACAAGCTGAGCAGAAGTTCATTTCTGTTGGAGATACCTTGGAAGTGCTGAGTGAGTTGCTAGGCACTGCTCTCTCACCCCGAGGAAGGTGGCCTACAGGGCAGAGGAAAGGAGAGGTGGCGGTTCTCCTGGGCCTGGCAGGAACGGGGAGGAAGTGAGGCTCCCTGGGTCTAGTCTGACCAACGATGATGCTTATGATGCTTCCTGCATCTAGCCCAAGCTTTCTCTCCCTCCTCACCCACTCTGAGGCCTCGACGTTCATGAAGACGAGAACTCAGAGGCCAACTAGATTCTAGGGCAACAGAGGAACCAACAGCTTTGAATGAAAGTGCAGATTAACATAGCTCTCTTTAAATGAAACAGATCTAAAGATGTTTCTACTGTTTAAAAATCCTACTGTGCTAAATTATCAGAATTAAAAAACAAGACTTCTATTGGCTAGATCTTGGTGAAGATGAACAAATATTCAAGTGACATTTACTGATGCCCTATTGTCTGATTTTCACTGGCTTGGGTGTTAGATGAGTACAAAAAAGTATACATAGCACATGGATTTTGAACTCAAGTGACTTGATGAGTTTGAATTCTAGTTATGAATCATTAAGTAAGTCAAAGGGTAGTACAGTAGCTAGAAGCAGGGGACCAGAGCCAGGCATCCCCAAGTCTGAGTCTTAGCAGTACCACTTGCTAGCTCAGACAATTATTTCACCCTCTGATTTAGCTTCTGTTTACTCATCTGTGAAATAAGGATAATAATACTATCTTCTTCATAAGATAAGTAAGTCAATGAACTCTGTCTTGTGTAAGGATTCACTGTATGCTAGCTGTTAATAATAGCAATTATGCTTATAAAAATGTAGTTATAATAATTAAATAACAGGTAATGACAATCAAAAGGTGGAGGCTGACTCAAAGGAGAAGAAGGACATGAATAACCTCTTCCTTCTCATTCCTTCTGACTATCCTTTCCCTTGTCCAAAACCCAGAACCCTTGAGACAAAGTGCAAAAGAAATGCAACCAGAATGCAAATCACAAGTCTGTTTCCTCCGAGGCTCACCCAAATACAACCCCTGGGCTAGAGATTTCCGAGCAGTAGATCCTCTTTCCTATCCTTCAGCAAGAATCAGGGGCAAGAACTCTTGCTGATAAGTTTATGGACTGTAGAAGCAAGGCCACACAGAAGCAAAGGCTGGGAATGGAAAAACACACTAACTGGGCCTCTGTCTCACACAGTTTACAGCTCAGAGAGCACATTCACGGTATGTTACCAGGTACCTGGAACACAGTAAGTGCTCATCAATATTATCTATTATCGTAGATTCTTAGTACCTTACATATAGCACCTTATTTAATCGTCTCAGCAAGTGTGTGAGGTAAGTATTATCATTACTCCCATCTGACAGATTAGGAAACTAAGGTAAAGTTACTGGCCAAAGATCACAGAGTGAGTGGTGGTATCAAGCCCATGACTCCAAGTTCTTATTTTTATATTCTGTACAGTTCTGCCATCCTACCATGATTACTTCTCTCAAAAACCTGTAAGGTGGGCAGCAGGTATATTTTCCTCATTTTGCAGGTGAGGAAACCAAGGATTGTTAAGTAATATTCCTAAAGTGAAAACACTGGTAAATGGCTTAACCATATTTCTGCTTTTCATCCAGTGCTGTTCACATTCTGTGGACTCATTCTTGTTATACATACGCAGTAAGATTTTCAGTTTGATAATCCAGCTCCTACAGGTAAGAGATACATAATAACACAAATACATTTTTTCTGACAACTTGGGGCCTTGAAATTAAGGAAAACTTAAACTCTCATTCCCATAAAAATTAGAAGCGTGCTTTTTGCTTCATTCAGGGATGTTGCATCACACACATGTAAACAAATATTTAATTAGAAAGGCAAAACATGACTTCCATTAGGATGCTTAAATAGGAAAATATAGAATCATTTTGACTAGATCTCTGTAAACACAAGGAATTTTACTAAACTTATTTGATTACTGGGCTTCCATTTCAAAACCAAATGGTGACTGATTAGCATCATCAGCCAAATGATTCCAATACTATCCAACCCAGCAGGTCACCCACAGTTTGGTTTCCTTCCAATATTTAGATTGACTCCAATTTTCATATTTACTTACCAATTGTGGGCCAAATGGCATTCTAGCTTTCCTACTTGTACCTTTTGTTGACTGCACCAGAACTGCACACATGGAAGAGTAGTGGGCTGGAATGTAGCTAATGTTGTGATACCATACTGCTTTCCACATTGGTCCTCGAAAATGCAGTTCATTGGTCCCTGCCAGAAGTATTTCCATTTGAAGGAACTCAAGGTCTTCTTTAACTTTGATTTCTGCTATTGCCAACTGCTAATTCTGAGAACTCCCTGTTCTTTCCATGCTTCATTTATTCAATAACATCTATTGAGTGCCTCCTAAGGTGTCATACACTGTGCTAAGTGTCCAGTACAGTACTTTGCTCATATTCTAGAAATGTAAACGTTTTTGCTTTGATTTTTATTTGGAGAGATGTGCTGATAATTTTTATATCAACTCATGAGAATATTCCATGATAATTATGAAATATGAAATCAAATTTCTGTTTTAAAAGTCCTTAAGTAGCTTAATGGAAAGAGAAGATGCTTTGCCTACACAATGCTCCCAGGCACCACTCTGGGGCACTGATTCCTTACTCTCTGAGGCCAGTATTACCAACAAATCACTGAGATGACTTATGGCAGCTTAAGCTATTTTTTCTGGAGTTATTCCATACAACGACTGACTGTAGCTGGCTCTGGTTAGTTTGTGAGATCAGAGACAGAGGTTTTAGGTGGTGGATGCTGTTCCCCAGGTAAATAGCTACCAGAGAGTGGCCAGTAGTACAGGTGAGGGGGGCTGTGTCAGTGGGTTTCTCAGTCCCTAAAGCCAAGGAAGAGCTCTTGGCCACCTTGTCAAAACACAGCACGTTCTACATTTGCTCCTTTACTGCTTCCTAAGGCAAGGTGAATCTTGTTGCATTTTAGAGCCAACAGAATAAGAGTGTTGCACTGGATTTCATCACATGGCTGAAAAGCAAACCATATGAGACCTTTATACAATGAAGTGAGTGTCCATATCCGGGTCTTCAGAAAAACACTGCTTTGTTAAAACTTGAAGACCCAACTGCTACATTTAGGTAGGAAAATACCCTTGCTCTCCAGGAGATAGATAATCACTTATGCTTTTCATTACTTAAATGGAGTCTTCAAGCATTTTCATAAATTTGAAAAGAAAAAAGAAAAACCTTGAGAACAAAATGTAAGTGAAAGGAAAGGAATCAGGCTGAAAAATCCCACATTCACAAGTTCTGTTAGTTTAGATACTTCACTAATTCATCATTACAGTTTATTTGAATAGGGCACGATTATAGACTAAAAGACACCAAAAATATCATTATATTGTATTTAGAGTTTTACATTGGATAGAGAGGTCTATTTTAAAACAACCTGTGAGTGAAGAATGCTTTGCTGTAAACAAATTCTCCCAGACGCTGAGTCACAAGCTACATTAACACCAAGTTGATGCCAAATAATCCTCCCTGGAGGAGCAGGGGGCCCTCTGGGTGGCA